GGGCCAACCCGAAACGCGATCGCGATTTGGGTCGACCCTATTCCGAATTGGGTCAGATTTCGATTTGGGTCAGAACAGTAATACTCTCATGATAATAATAATAATAGTAAATTAGAGATAGATTTGTGCAACAGTAAATAGGGAATATAACCGAGGTATGATAACAATAGATTATTATACGATATGGGAATTTGGGACTGCAAAAATATCGGGAATAGGGATATATCTGAAGGGAACACTAATGAGGTAAATTTATATGGAAATACAATAGAGGAAATCCGTCCCGCTTGGGATATTAAAGGGTTGGGATTTAAAAGAGGTATGACTGTAGTCGTGACAAATTTGAGAAAAAAGTGCCCGAATTTACGATTCACAGATCATGTGATCAATGGTGCCAAATTTACGATTTATTATGTGATCAGGGGTATGTAAATTTATTACAATTGTTCAAAAATGCTGAAAGGGATCATAGTCAATAATTCCGACACTTTTTTTCCAACACTTTATACGCTAGTCAAATTAGTCCATCCGTGTGAGTTATAATGACGATGAATGGCCCTCCATATGCAGAATATGATGTAGGACCATAAAAAAGTGTCGGAATTATTGATTATAATCTGAGAGGGATACGATGTCGCTTATACCGTCTAACTGCATATTCAGTCTGCTTGGGACTACCGTAAACTATCGTGAATAAGGGCCGTAATGTTATGAAATAGATGGCCCCTCCCCCCCCCCCCCCCCTATCACATCAACAGTCAACGTCATATATTACTTTATTTAGTATCGCTGATTTATGATTCATCTTACAAACATCCTCTGGTAAAACTACGACGTATAGTTGGTCCCCTTCCATATTAAGTTGTCTTCTGTACCGTTGAGGTCATTAGACAGCCCACAGGTTTTAAAGGTTTCGAATATAATTTCTGGTTCATTATCCAGTTCCGGGAATTTACTCTTCGCTCTCACTCCTGGCAAAATTTTCGGATTCTTCGGAAGTCGAACTATGCCTGGTACTAACATGTGAATCTTGTTTGGAATTAAATGTTTTCTTTGTTTTGAATGTCGTCTCACAATAGTTAGAATTGCTTCACGGAATGCGAGAGGAATTTTTTTTTGATAGAGCGAGGAACGCATTCTTATTGGCATTGCGCGGTTTTAGTAATTTAGTTTTACGTGATATGATGCCAAAATCTGTCATTCATATGAAAATGTTGGATTCAATTTCTCTGGAATCTTTCTAAAATCTTCACATAGTTTTGAACGTTCAGTCTTGAATGAAACAAAAATGCAGAAACTTTTATAAAATATTGTTTCGTTGTCTGGGTTAAAGCTTGTCTACAAAAGTTGTTGCGACTAAGCGGTCCGAGCCAATATGAAAAATCCAGTGCTGTGGCATTTATTATTAAACTTTTACAAAATTTATTTGATTCTCGAAAACGTGACCGTTTTAAGAGGTCTCGCAGAGAATAGATTTTCAGTTTCTTGACGATTCACTCTTCATGTGTTATCGGAATTGGTTCTCAATTACTCTAATAAAGTATATCTGTGCAATTTACGAATTGGTTTATCTTCTTCAGTTAGTGTACAAAATTTGTGACTTGTATCATAAAAAATACGATTAGAAGCATTCAGTTTACATTTTACTCCGAATCTAAAATCAGTGATACAACTAGAGCGTGTGCGAGGCCTGCCTATGTGACTCACGTTCAGGACATTCTATTATGTTAAAAAACTAAGCACAAATTTAATGCAATTGAAGTGCTGTGAAAATATAGAGTAATTGATGTTTAGTTGTATTTTGCATCTTCGATTTCAGAAAAGGTTTCCCAACAAATCGTTATCGTTAGATAATTTTGACCAACTTTCGCTACATTTTTTCTGAACGCGATTATTTTTTTTAGTGATCAGTTAATTACAAACCCTTTAAACGACAAATTATCTAGTGAGTCAAATAGCACAGATAATACTTGGCCATTTCCATTATATTTTTGCTGCAGCACTGCTACTACATGCCGCCATTTTTGACTTTGTTTAGTAATATTCGCCGTGCTAAACGAGCTAAATTTTTAGTAGCTACATCTTTGTACAAAGCGTAAATTTTACTTAATAAAAAACCAGCAAAGTTTAAATCCGCTTTGCAGTGATTTATATTAAAATTGATGGAAATTTTTTGTAGACAGGTTGTTTTATTGCAGTTTTCAAAATTCTTGGGTCACACAAATTTTGTCCACGACTTTTTTTGCGATATACGCGAAAACTGGTCAAAATATTCTGCTTGCCCGCGATTATTAAACCTTTCTGAAGAGTAGAAGACGCCTATTTAATACAACTTTGTCCCTTTACTTAGTGCGAGGCAAGAAAAGCGTGGTTACACCAGTGATTATAACCGATTACAAACGATTATTAAGCGATTACAACAGTTATGGAACAATTGTAACGTATTATGAAGTGAGTATGTATTAATTACAATGCTCTTTGATATTATTCGCTTAAGAAGATGTCAAGAAGTCTCAGCAATGACCTACTTTAGAGAATAGTATACCTGCATCGTGATGGGTATTCAAGCAAGAAGATAAGAAGTCTCTTACATATTTCTCGGGCTACTGTTGGAAGGGTCTTGGGAACATATAGGAAGTGGGGTTGTGTCAAGGATCCTTTTATAGGCTCTAGGGGAAGAAGAAAGTTGTTTGATGTGGATGATATGGAAGTATGTTGCTAGTCAATCGAACATTATTATAATAAATTTCTTAAAGGTTCTCAAGTCTTTGGTTGAACAGAAGTTGGATTGGTATTTAGATGAGTTGGTTTCTGAGATGAGAAGACTTACTATTACTGGGAAGACTGTTTCCATACCCACTTTATGGCAATCATTAAAATTTTGCGGAAAAACAAGGAAGAAGTTTGTTATATATATAATAAGGGCCTGATTCGTCAAGTTCTGATGGGCAACTAATCTTTTCAAATTAGCTTAGTAAAGCAGCAATAAAACGAAACGAAATGTTTCGAAGTGTTTTTACGGCTGTTGTTGGGGAGTATTCTGCAGAGCTAATATTCGTTGATGAGTGTGCAAAGGATGAAAGATCACACCGTTAGATAATCCTATTGGCTGACTATTGTATTCGTATTCATTTTTTTATGGGTGATCTACAGTTTTAAAAACTGCAATAAAATATTGTTGGTTACCATTTTAAATAAATGTTAATTACTATAAGCAGAGAAAGCATTGGAATCTATAGAATTGATAAATTTAATTCAGTATTAAAGATAAAGAAAATAAATACTTTATGAAGAAAGCTCTAACGATTGCTTATAGTAGATTTATTAAAATGTAAGTATTTATGAGTAATTGTTATACTTTGCCAGAAAGAAAATTACATTAAGAAGTTATAATGTTAAAAATGCCATTATTCTTTTGTTTTCGTGTTTTCTGGCTTTTTGCAGATTAGGATTTTCTCAGTAATTTGTAATTGTACTGAAAAACTAGTTCTGTTAAGTCGGCTATTTTATTTAGCTAACGTCATGGTTGGGGTAAAACCACCGGACGTCCGGTCAATTGCGGCAGAGCACACCAAAGCTTCCGTAATTAAGTTTATTATCTGCAAAGAGTAATAATTTTATCATAAAAAGAACGAAACGAAACACATATACGCTAGAGCTGGTTGGCGAAGGTATGGATTATTTTGTTGAAGTCAAGTTGCTGCCTTTCGTAAGGTATGGTGCTATTATTTGGTTAAGTGTCTAAGTTTTCAAGGAAGGCTCCAAGTATACCAACGTCTTCGGTTTACCCTGTAATACTAAACTGTTTAATTATGATCACATGTGTTTCGACCAAGTCAGCCATTTGAGGCGGGCTACTGGTTGGCGCCGACTACGCATTCATAATTACGGCGCGAAAAAACACGCGCGTATATGTGTGATCAAATTTCAAAAGACTATGTCAATTCGGTATGATAAACTCACTAACTTGGAATACGAACCATAGGGAAAAGATGTCATTGTTTGTTTATTTTACAATTGATGTCTATTATTATATCGTACAGTACAGTGCCAATTCTCGTGTCTTATAATAAGTATTTACATTAGTCTTAATTTACTTTTGGAAAGTCTCTTAATCCTTAACTATCATCCTATCATCGCCTTATCCATCATCCATCGTATCTTTGACTCTGGCATATCCTTTACAAATCCAGCACTTGCTGCCTGTTCTTTCAACTTTTTTGCTTCTGCAATGTTTTTCTCAACCCCATTGCCCTTTTCATAGCATTGACCAAGAGAGTGTAATGCATTGACATGTCCAAGATCGACTGCGTCTTTGTACAGACGAACTGCTTCATTCATATCTCTTGATACTCCAATTCCTTTTTCGTAACAATAGCCTAAATTCCATAAAGCTGGTGGATAGCGTCGTCCAGCCGCTCGTTGATAGAATTCAAAAGCTCTCTTCCGATCCTTTTTCCTATCTACATATCCGAATTCATAGAACTGGCCGAGACAATATTCTGCGAGCGGGATATTCTTATCCGCAGAAAGTTTGTAAAGACGAAGTGCTTCAGGATAGCATACACTTGTTCCAACCCCAACATGGTAGAAAAATCCGATCAAAGCACAGCAATGTCCACATGTTTCATCATGCCGCCTCAGGGTGTTCAGAATGTTCTCTACGTCGTAATTGTTGTTAGTGAGCCAGTTGATGACAAAGTTACGTGCGTGATGGTCTATTCTTCCTCTTGTTGTTTGCTTTTCGATAATTGTGAGAAGCCATGTTGTGTAAAGATGGTTTTCAGACGGTCTTAAAATTAGATCTTCATTATCAATCTTCATTAAGTCATTTCTTCTTAAAATGTCTTCTAGTTTACGAAGTATTTCCTTACATGTTAGTCGTTTAACGAGATCCCTGTCGCGACATTGTTTATATAACTCGATATAGTCATCAGGTGTGCCTTCTACTGGTGTCAATTTGTTGAGGTCAGAATCGGATGATGGTATACCGCCGGATATCTCCCAAAGTAGTACACCAAGACTGTACACGTCTGATTTCTTATTATGTTTATAATTTTGTGTGATGCTGTACAGTACGTCGGTATAAGCGGAATTGTGTTTTAGGTTAATGGCTGATTTTCGATCTAATCTGGATAAGCCAAAAGCTGAAATCTTTGCCGTACCATTATGAACGTGTACGGTATCTGAAGTCTAATAGTATAGAAATAATAGTAAGCATGATAACCTGATCAAGTATCTAATGAAGTTAAAAAACATTACCAGATTTTTATGTAAGACTTCCATGTTATGAAGATAGTCGAGGCCTTTGGTTATATCTAATGCGAGCTGATTTTTTTTCTTCCAACTTAGTGTATCTGAGTGCTCTTTTAAAAATTTGAACAATGGACCGCCGTCGGCATGTTCGAGAACTATGAAGTATTTCCGGTTTAAATCTGTCGATTAAATTAATCAAGGACGTTAATATTTGGTTTCATTCATACTGTATCGACTCGGTGGCTAGCTCTCGAGATTACCTTTAGTTATACCGAAAACTCGAATAATATTTGGATGATCCTTTGCTTTGTGGTGAATCGCCACCTGCAATTGATGACAGGCGTTAACGCTTGATCATTGTATATTTGACGCATTTAATAGGCTGCAAACAATGAAATCTGTTTAGTGACAGTAAATGAAAGCTGTGATTCACCTCGGCGGCAAATTCCTTACTGTTATAAAAGTGCGTCTGTCCGATATCGCGAAATTGGAGGATTGCTTGAAGTACGACCATGCTGCCGGATTCCTCGATAGTCGCACGCCCTTTTTGAATTTCAGACGTACTGAACTGGTAGAGCTTAATAATTCGATTGTTTATACAATTCTCTATCCAGCCATTTTCACCGTCGTTTAATTGACTCATTGCGGGGGTGAAGTCTCGTCTCCTTCATCTGCTTCAATCTGACTCCGTCTAAAGTAGCACAAATCCTGCAGCTCATAAGATGACACAAACCCAGATGACCATTGTTATGTTCAGATGATATGCAGCCGCGCATAGAAGAAGCGTGAACGAAGAAGACCGCAAACCAGACTTTAATCCAATTAGGCTATAAGATATATTTAAAGACAAACGGATTTAGAGGAGTTGTCAAGATCCTATGGATGCCTTTAAGACAACTACTAGTAGCAAGCATCGTTGGTTTATCTTATTGTTACAGTTACGGTTATAGCTGAGCGTTTTGCGGCTGGAGATTTTGGCTCAAACGCGAGGGTTAGGGAAGAGACCGAATATCTGAGCATTAATATTAATATATGCACATATTATTATTGTGAACTGTTGGTCATACTCCCAAAAAGCAATAGATTACACAAGAACAGGAATAAAACGCTTTCTGATGGATATGTACAAGTATTCAAAATTTCAGTGTATTAATGCTTAATTACGTCAGCATGCATGACAGCATACCATGACCCTGTAATTGAGACAACGATAATGTAAATATGGTCTCATGCCTCATTACAATACAATATGTCTCTCTTTTCAATATCTGTAAGCAGACGCTTGTAGTTCAAAGAATATACGGACGTGATTGTTACACATACAATTATTTCCATTTTCCGGAGCAGAACATATATATTATTCTAGTAATACAAACCAAACATTACGAGAATCTAATATTTCTAATAAATCATAAACTGCAAGATCGCGTTTATATACGTTAAACAATTTTTATTCGTGTCTAATAATTATATAAATCGGATCAAATGTTAACGAGATCACGAGAACTATAATAACAGCATAGCCGAGCAATCGATATAACAAATAAAGACTCGCACTCTTCTAAGTAAGAGACCTATAGGAGGAGCGATTGATAAGATTTGATTTACTGGTCAAAACGCAAGTTGAGTATTCAGGTTACTCGTACACTATTACTATATACATCACTCGGATAGTTCAGTCTTAAGGGGGCAGACTGCTACAACAAAGGTAGCCATGCACTTATCACACGTGAGAGGGGATATAATGTAATGAGCATGTACTTACTGCCCTTGCTAGCATAGAGCAATAGATTAGATTTTTGAGACGCATGTGATACTATAGTAACTGTGATATTATCACATGATCAAGACGAATTTTCTATGATTTGCACAATTGTTGCAGGCACCCTCTGATGACTTACGATGTTGCAGTTTTTTCAACGTCATAGGATTCACGGTTTTGTAAAAGTCAACATAGCTAGACAGAACCTTTGTAGACCAGCGGTCTATTCAACGGCCGCAGCACGCTCTCGGAAATTAAACGATGATATCTCGGTATTATCGCCATACGAGTGAGTATCCATCGACCGGGATTCGAGGGATTCGAGGGATTTTGTCGTTTATTGATATTTCATGACGGTTTTTGCTCGGGACTTGACTTCCACTACCCGATTTTAATGGTTGTCCGTTCTCTACATTAATTAGACAAAAATCAATTCATCAGGTGATGATGGATATTCAAGAAGCTCGATCATCCTACCAGTCAGCAAAATTGGACTTGACAGATTCGATTATAGAAGAGAAAAACACTAGAGAATCTCCCGAAGCGTTGTTTGGCAGAAAGAAGTTAGGCTGGGTTATGCTCCCAGAATGGTTAAATTCAGCCGTTTCAAATATTCTAGCAGGTATTGTTAATGAGAATTGAATTGCACGAGGGGCCATTCAAGTTTTGATGATAGTTTGAAATTTGATAGATTATGATGATAAATTACTCCAGATGGATACGATACGTATATACGATTCATTGAGATCGACGACAGGATATACCGAATCATCTTTGCAGAAATATGATTCTCAAGGTAAGTATGCTTGTTTCGTGCCGTTACTGCATGCGCGATCTAATTTATTATTCTTCACTAGTGCCTATGTTTCCGCAATGTAAAATGTCAAATGAAGGCTTTAAGAAATCTTTAACAGATGTTCCGATACATCCTCACATTCTTTCTTATGGGGTTCGAGAATCAATGGCATATATTGCTGGACTTTTGCCTATAACATTTGGCCCAATATATAATGTACTTACAGAGCTAAGCAGAAGAATACCGACATTTACTCCACGGAATATTCTCGATTTCGGGACTGGACCCGGCACTGCGATATGGTTAATAGAGAGCAGCATGCTTATGATTTAACAGTTTTGCGTATTAATCGTTAGATTTTTTTATATAGGGCATCGCATGAAATATGGGGAAAAAATGTAGAAAATTATATGGGAATAGATGTATCAGAAGCAATGATTAAGATGGCGGAAACACTTTCAACGTGTCTGTAACAAGAAACTTTTTCTGGTGTTTAGGTACTTCATCTTTTTCTTAACTGAAAACGATTTATTATTGTAGACCAAGTCGGTGACGAAGGCATAAGGAACGTCGAATTTACTCAGTACTTATCATACAAGTCGAACGTGAGCAAACAAAAAAAAACAGTTTTTATTATTTTTGTTGTGTATTCGCGTTAATATTATACCAAATTATAGGAGCATAAACACGATATGGTAATCAGTGCATTCACGTTCAATGAGTTACCAACAGAACAAGTCAAAAATATTGTGCTTGAGACACTTTGGAAGTCTACACAAGATATTCTGGTTAGTTTCGTATTGCAATTAACTATTTAATGAACGGGATTTTTAAAGCAATTGACTTAATAGGTACTTATAGAGAGAGGAACTCCGGCCGGATTCCAGGCGATAGCTCACGCAAGACAAAAAATCTTGCAAATGGAGAATAAGAAAACCGACTCGAATACTATTGCAGATGCAGGAACAACGGTTGGGCTAGTAGGGGCACATGTTGTCGCACCGGTAACGATCTCGTGCCTGCGTTTCGCATTCGTCTACGCGTCATGAAATAACGGATTAATAAATCCTAATTACTAGTGCCCTCACGATGGCGTATGCCCTTTATTGAATACGAGAAACTGGTGCCATTTCTCTCAGAAAGTAAACCGACCGACTTTTCTTGTAAGTCATTCAAGACGGTGCAGCTCTGCCTTATAATTCATTGGCATTTATATGATAGTTCTGTACAGATGAATGTCAAAGGCGCTAAGCTCAATTTTGAGAATTCGAAGTATTCATATGTCATACTAAGGAAAGGACCACGTCCAACTGTTAACTTGTGCGATAGTCAACAATCAGGTAGGTGGTCGACCAAAAGCAATAACCTGGCTCGGATCTATTATTATAAGTTTAGCTATTTCTGCTTGTTGATCTTTATTACCTAAGACGTTAATGTAATGTAACATTGTGTAGATTATATAGACGCCTCTTATGAATGGCCGAGATTAGTCGCACCTCCAATGAAGCGTCATGGCCATGTGATCATGGATTATTGCTCGAAGACCGGTAAGTATACATGAGAAGCACAGACGCTGAATATTCAATTTAGGGCGGATAATCTGTCGAAATAATGCACGATTGTCAAGCAAAAATTTAACGTTCGAGACGGAATTGTAGTTATGTTATCCTTTGTTTTTACTTCTCTCCTAACCATTACCGTGAAGGTCACATCGAAAGAATGATCATTCCAAAATCGCAAGGTAAAATACCATACAAGGATGCGAGAAAAGTCGCATGGGGCGATCTCTTTCCTCACAGTCCTAAGAAACCTGCTACAAGACGATGGTCGCAGTCAGAATTGGAATCTGATCTGGATGGTCTGGACGATGAAAGTCTGGACGCTGATACGGGGGAAGTGGTTTCTGAGCTAGAACCGATTGGCTTGTCAGACGATGTTACAAATGTGGAGCCATTACCGAAAATTAAAACCAAGCAGAGATCGGGAAAGCACGACAAGAGAAAGTCTCAAAAGTCAAAAACAGCGTGGAAATATGAACCTTCAGCTGATCAACTATCTACAAGAGGGCAGAAGCATCGAGAAGCCCTTGAAGATAGGCGTGTTGACGTTAAGCGTATTAGTGATGAGTATGACTATGGTAACTACGAAGAGTATGATGACAATATTGACATTGATAGTTATAGACACAGCCGTAAAATTGAATAGTTAGTGAAAAATCAAATGACCTTATTATTGTAAATAGACGACTTTTCAATCCAGCATGCGTGCGTGATCAAAATACCAACTATCCTTTAATGTGCGTCAATTGCTGAGCTTTTGGCTGGAGATCCAACGCGTTATGTTTCCTAATTGACAATGTGATATCAACAGATGGCACAATGCGGTAATTGCGTCGTCAATATTTATGCATTATACATACCATCTTCCGATCAATGATCTTTAGCGTACCGTTCGGTAAGATCATACCGACGTCTCCAGTATGCAGCCAACCCTCAGAATCAATTATCTGTGCCGTTACTTCTCGTTGCTTGTAGTAACCTTTCATAACATTTGGTCCACGAACACAAATCTAAAAGATAAAAATGTAGTAATGGGTTGGTAGTGAAATAAAGTCTAGTGCTATTCATCGTCATCACTTACTTCTCCACGTGGGTTCGGCTGATCTTCGACAGTATATGCTTTCTCTTCATAGTTTATTAACTTGATTTCATTGCATGGTAACGGGCCTCCGGCATGACTCTCATGACCTAAAGAATCGGCTGCTTGATAGTCGTAAACCGTATTTGCCGTTACAGCTCCGCTGCATTGGGTTAATCCATACAATTGAATAACTTGACATCCAGCAGTTATTCTCAAAAAGTCAAGTAATGTTTGCGAGACTGGACCTAATATACGTTAACCACAGCCTTGTTAGGACATAGATCAATCAAGAGCTACTTCACATGGTGATGCCTCATATACGTACCGGAACTGCATACAGCAGCACGAACTTTGCCTCCAAAGAGTGCTTTAATTTTGTTGAATACTAATACATCCCAAATGGAACTAACGAGTAATCTTCCCTTCTTCAGTTGTGCCTTTTTAGCGTTCACCCCCTTATTGAACAAATAGCTATTCCCATACTGTTGCATAATTTGGTCATGGTATTTTGCGAGGAAACGAGGAGTGCTAACAGATCATATTGTAAGTTTCAAAATCCTCTCATACGTCGAAACGAAATTCATACAATTGTTTCAAACAACCTACACTCACACAGTGAATATAGTTGGCTGTGCTGCCTGAGCATCGTCAAGAACTTTGGATACATCGCCACGGTAAAATGCAATAGACGCACCTTTGAACATCATCGTAATGATAACAATTCTTTCAAAAATTTGAGCTGTTTTTCAAACATAAATAAAAAAGCGTCGTTATTATTATTATACTTCATATCCACAAGCCATAAAAATAACCAAATCCATTTTACCGATCGGTAAATATGACAGGTGCCTGTCTGCTGACGTTGCCTTCAGTGTTGACATTGCGGCCGATAGGCCGGCTGATTGCAAACCGCGTTAAAGCTATTCATCAGTTTTAAGTGATACAGTAACAATCCGGTTATAAACAACGTACCGACATTAGCTACAATGTTCTGTATCAATAAAGTTAGATTTGGTAAGATGCAGATAAAATAATGTTTATTCTGTCCAATATACTTGCCTTGTGTGTCAACTCAACGCCTTTTGGATGCTATGGATGCATTATGCGTGAGTGATAATAGTATTATGATATAAATCTCACTAGACTATACATACACCAGAAGTAATGCCACTCGAATATACAATCGTTGCGGTATCATCGGGCTCTACAACATGAAAAATGTTAACAAAATTGTATATATTCCGTCCTGGTAATATCATATGTCGTACCTGGTAATACGTGGTCAAGCAGTTTCTGTGCACCTAATCTTTCAACTTCAACAAATGTCTTTACGACAAGTCCCAACGCTTCAATTTTTGATCTCTGATCAGAGGGAATATCCGTTTCCGCCACGACAATGTATTTCAATAAGCTACATGACGGAGCTGCCGAGAGAACTAGTGGCAAAGTATCTTTTGACACAATAACAGAAGTGATGCCAGTCTGCTTAATTTCATTTATTATGTCCGATAATTGCGGGCGAATACTTTGCAGCGCCACGACCACAAGGCTATAATGGTGAGATGCTTTGTAGCAAATTGATATATATATAAGAATACAGTTATAGATATAAAAGAAGCTTGATGATAGTGTTTGATAGACTCACCAAGATCAGCTATTACCCATTCTACATAATGAAAGAAAGATAATTAGAGTCTACACGATCAAAAAGGACTCGTCCAGATCTGACATATTTCTTAATCGTGGATACCTGGCCTGCTGTTCATTAGAATACCAAACATGTTCTGTGTTTTTGGAACTAAACCAGCGAATTCGATCAATCCTGATCCAAAGTTGGAGAGCCTCTTGCTAATCTCATCTAGAAATAATTTGTATTTAATACATAATATAAAAATTTTATGATGCTTGTCTGGTAAATGAACAATTGGCTTGTTTATCTGATGCAAAAGCCTATGATGTTCAAATAAATCTTACCATACGTTTGCTATTTGGAATGATGGGTATATGGTTAATGATAATATAGCAAGCGGTAACACTTTCATATGCGAAATCAATACATACCCAAGTGTACAAACTATCTGGACCCCTAACACCAAGAAACTTGTCTCCCTGTGAAGCGCCAGCTTTGAACAAATCAGCGATTGTCTTTACACCTTTTTCTGGGTTAGATAGCAAGGCCATTCCGTG